CCCCCCCATTTATTATTACATTGAACAATGCACTAATAAGGTATTACTAATACCTGTAGTAATTGCTATTAATAAAATATTTTGTTAATGTATGATGGTCAACACTAAATTACTTATTTTTTGTGTCGTCCCTTAAATATTGTATCATTTGTATTGCATTTTATATATAATTTTAATGCAAAATGCAATAAAAATGTTACAAACTTTTCAGGGGCTACCATAAAGCTTAATGAAACATGATTTACTAAAGTAAATTAATGCTATAAATTTTATTGAAATTATTAAATTTGACTTTTTTACATAATGAATGACCCATAAGAGACCATTCAATAAGTACGTACGCGAAAATTTGTCTAAAAATTGACACCCTTCCCCTACTTAATCTCATCGAGCATAGGACTTTAACATTGTGTACCCAAGCCTTGGCTGACCCTCTCCCCCATCAGTGCGTACGTACTTATTGAATGGCCTGATAAACAAAAACGAAGCATAATGAACATTAACCTTGACTAAACTACTTGGTGTTACCAGCCATTTTACAGGTACAGTACCGGTGCTCAATATCGTGGACCCGGACTTGATCAAGGACATTTGGGTGAAAGACTTTTCCCAGTTTCCCGACCGATCGAAGGTATGGATATCCAGCAATCACGTCACCTCCCGTTCCCTAAACCACGTGTCCGGCGAGGACTGGAAACGGGTGCGCTCTATAGTGTCGCCCGTTTTCACGTCCGGCAAAATGCGTCAAATGTCACCGAAAATCGGCGCGTGTTTGACGGACCTCTGCGCCCATATTGACACCATAGCGGCCACGGGTCAGCCCCTGGACGCCTGGGACGTGTGCGGGCGGTTCGTGTTGGACATCATCGCCCGTAACGTGTTTGGCGCCAAAATCGACGCCTACCTGTCCACTGACAACCCGTTTGTGGTGTTCGCTAACGAAAAGTTTAACCTAACGCTTAAAAAGGAAATGAGCAGGCTACTATTGCCTAAATTCATGCAAAAATGGCTGAATGTGTCGAATAAGGTTTCGGATCAGTTTTTCTTAGACACCGTCCGACAGATTATTGGCGATAGACGACAGAAACCTAATGAGAAAAATGTGGACTTAATTCAACTGCTTATGGACGCAGATATTGGGGACCGGGAGGGACAGGCAGATGAAAGAGATAATAATAATCATCAACAAAATAGAGGTATTTAAAAATCTATAATTTTAAAAATCTGTAGATCTACTTGGTAAGTTTTAATCCGGTATAATATGAAATCCATTTATACAAAATCCGGTTAATTCTCGTTTAACCACTCCTGTAATATGTCTGTGCATTATTGTTTAGCACTTGCAAAAATACATTAGAACCTAGTTCAAATAAAAATTTTGTATAAATACATCAAATTATAAATCAAGGTTGTTATTAAAATTAATTACCCTAAGAATTTTTAATATTAATAGTGAATTAATACATATTATTTTCTCATACTTGGAATATTAATACTGAATTTAAGTTGCTGAAAATTGTCGGTAAAAATTATAAGTGTTAAGATTAATTAACCTGTTAAAATAAGTGTAATTTATTTTAGTTTTAGCAAAAAAATTTTAAAAATATATATAATTTTGCAAATCTTTAGGCGATGAGGAGGTGGGCGCCGATCGTAAGGCCTACGACATAAACGTTGCTAACAAACGGCTAACGGAAGACGAGATCATAGCTCAGGGATATATCTTTTTCATCGGAGGATACCTCGAAACGGCGTCAGCCCTGGCCTTCTCGGCCTACGAGATGGCCTGCAATCCGACGGCTCAACAGCGACTGCTCGACGAGATCGAGGGCGCGGGCGTCGACGCCCCGGACGGTGACCTACCATACGACGCGTTGGCACGACTGCCATATTTGGCAGCATTTTTATCGGAGGTTCAGCGCCGACACTCAAACACCCAACCCATGGCCAGAGTTGCTGCCAGTGACTACCGGTTAGGCGATACCGGGATCACCATAAAGGCCGGGCAGCAGATAGAGGTGCCCAACTACGCCTTACATTATTCGGACCAGTACTATGAGCACCCGTACCAGTTTGATCCTGACCGTTTTATGCCAGAAAATAAGCATAAGATTAAACCCTACGCATACCTGCCCTTTGGCGCCGGTCCTCGTAATTGCATTGGTATGAGGTTTGCGTTATTGATTGTTAAGCTAGCGTTGGCTCACATGGTTAAGCGCTACCGATTCTACCGGTGCCCGCAAACGGACGTTCCCGTACAGTATAAGCCGTTTATTCACATGATTTCACCGAAACGTGTTGTCGTAGGTATCGATAGACGAGTGAAATAATTAAATTAAATACTTCTTACAAACAGTTAATATTAAATGATGTTGATAATTTGAATACTTATATTTTATATTATATTCAAGATAAACAATATAGCTGTAATAAATATTGTTGCTAGATTATTAGTTTTATCATTGATTAAGATTACCATACCAGTGTTACATTAAATAATTTTATTTTAATAGAAGTATTGTAGATAAAATTCATATTTGATTACACTATAAAATAATATATAACAATTTAATATTTAATTCAATTTTCTCAATAAATAATAAAAATTAGTTAAAAAGTTGAATTTTAAACCTCATTTTTTTGAAAAATTATGCTTTTCTCAATAGATAAAAAAACCACAATAAAGATAAGTTAATGTATAAGTTAAGATAAAGATACAGTTAATGTATGAAAAATAATCAATTTTGAAAAATCGACTTCGACTTAAAATTTTTTCTTATATAAATGGTCAGGTGGAATTGTGAAATATGTAATGTCGATGTGGACAAATCTCAAAAGGCAAGACACTTTAAAACTAAAAAACATGAAAATAATTGAAACCCTGATGAAACTATAGCAGATAATTGACCAATTGATGCTATTGAAGAAACTACTAAGAAAAGAAAAAAGAAAAGACTTCAAAATAAAAGAATTAATATATTTTTAATTGATAAAATATTTGTAACTAAAAATATATTTTGGCACAAACTTGGCACATTTATTTATCAACTAGATTAAAACTTATTGATTTCAATATTAAGGAAAATTTAACGAAAATTGTGATTAACTATGAGAATGGATTACAATTAGAACTGATAATATTGCAATGTAACTTATATCCTTAATGTCCGCAAAGTCCTTAATATTGAAATCAATAAGTTTTAATCTAGTTGATAAATAAATGTGCCAAGTTTGTGCCAAAATATATTTTTAGTTACAAATATTTTATCAAATTTTGTTCTAATAATAATAACCTAAAAATGATATATCAAAAATATCTATAGAGCTTTTGAAAAAGTAGGAGACATGGAAACGACCTTGATTAGGCTTGTCAAAGCTAGACATCTGTTTTCATTTACTACATATTTAGACCTACGGGTAATCCTTTAAAATGGGAAACTTTTATAAAACTTTCTAATCATTAAAATTGCGCGGGTGTACGATTTATTGAGTTAAAGGGTTGTTCAAATGTTTGTATACATGTATGTTTTTATATTGTGTGCCCCTTTTGAAAAAATGGACTGTATGTTTTATTTCTTTTGCTGTCTCCTACATTTTCAAAAGCTCTGTAGACATTCATCAGTCTTTTGATAGATTAGGGATTAGGGTTGGGTATTGGCTATTGATAGTACAGAGCGAGGATTAATTCCGCGGATAGAGAAATAGCCATAATTATAAACTTTTAAGTTGATAAGATTTTAAACAAATATTAACACTTGCATAAAACAAAAGCATTACCCCTCAATTTGATATTTTAATCATTCACTATCAATTAATGTGTGTATATAGTGATAATATTTTGTATTGAAAAGGCTTGTAGAACATTTTGTGTATCCGCGGACTTTTTGTACAAAACTCTGCACTGATATAATTGCTATGCATTGCACAAACATAAGTATCTAACAATTAGCTTATTATATTTTAAACATAATATATTGTATGTAACTTTCTCACATTTTTTTATCAATATATAGAAAAATATATTTAGTGAATATCAGGTTCTTAATAAAATGTAAAAGTTTTACAAAAGTATGCGTAAGTCAAATCTCAAGTGATATATACCTAATACGTAATGAAATGATAAATAGTTTTACAATAAGTCAATTGTTTTGACAACCGGTATATAAGCGCAAAAATTTTCTTAAGAATTGCTATTATTCTGGTGCTATTTTGAAAATTATTTAAAATATAATTTCAAATATAATTTGCAAAATATATATTTTACAAATTTTTTAAATTTAAAAATAACATCAGTATTTAAAAAAAGTAAGTTAACTGCTATTCATTTAAATATTTATATGAATTAAATAAAAAATTTATGAAAATAGATACTACGAAAATTGTAGCCAAATGATATATATTAAAATAAATGTGTATTATTTATAAAATTAAAATTCTTATTTACGGATTAATTAATATAAATTATTTAAACATACGCGTTAAAAAAATTATTTTTAATATTTTAAAATTAAAATTAATATTATTAATTTATTGTAATATTAGATGCCTGGCGACGGTAACCGCTTGTCCAACACATTCCTGTTTAGTTCCGAATCGGTCGGTGAGGGACATCCAGGTATGTCATTGTTGAAAAATATATTCATTATAATCATTTACTCTCGCAATATATTATAATACCATATAAATTTTAATGAAAATTTATATCAATAATTAAAATATACTTACATATAATATATTAATATTTACAGCTAATTTGATTAATAAATCTTGTAAACATATAAATTGTATTAAATTAAAAATTAATTATTTTTTCATAATTAAATGAAGATAAAATATGTGATCAATTGAGTGATGCCATACTCGATGCACATCTGAAACAAGACTCCAACTCACGGGTCGCCGTCGAGACGGCCACCAAATCGGATAAGATTATAGTGTTCGGAGAGGTCTCAGGCAATGCTAAAGTAGATGTTGAGGCTGTCGTTAGAGAAACCATTAAACAAATCGGTTATGACGACCAAAATATAGGTATAAAATCACAATTACAAAGTTACTTATAATAGCACATTTTTATTATTAAATTTCAATATAAAATTTAATTTAACTTAAAACATTTTATTATTAAATTTACTTTATTTTATTTAATATAAATAAAACTATGAATATGACCAAACGAGTCCCCAATTCAAATTACAATATTATAATTATTTTATTCATTAATACATTGATAATAATATTATTAATAATATATTTAATATTTTTAATATTAGGTTTAGATTATCGTACGTGTAATATAGACATAATATTGGACAAACACGATGATGCAATATCAACGTTTTGTGACTTGAATCGATCCCTTGAGGATATCGGTGCCGGAGATCAGGGACTGATGTTTGGTTACGCCACCGATGAGACCGAAGAATATATGCCATTAACAGTGGTTTTGTCGCATAAACTGAATGAAAAGTTGAGTGAATTACGCCGTAACGGGACATTCCCGTGGGCCAGACCTGACACTAAGACTCAGGTGACGTGTGAGTACTACGACGACAATGGAAGAGTTATACCGACGAGAGTGCACACAGTTTTAATCAGTACTCAGCACTCGGAGGACATATCATTGGAGGAATTACGCAAAGAGGTACGAGAGAAAGTCATATTTCAGGTCATTCCTCGTCAATATTTGGACGACAAGACAATATACCACATCAACCCGTGCGGCCCTTTCATTGTTGGCGGACCAGCCATTGATGCCGGACTTACTGGACGTAAAATAATTGTCGATACTTACGGCGGTTGGGGCGGTCACGGAGGCGGTGCCTTCTCTGGTAAAGATCCGACAAAAGTGGACCGATCGGGAGCATATGCGGCCCGTTGGGTGGCCAAGTCATTGGTACACTCGGGTCTATGTAAGAGATGTCTCGTTCAGGTCAGTCATTAAAAATGTTAAATGTAACTAGATTAAATCCAATATATTCATTTAATATATAACTATACAATATATTACTTTTATTGGTCAAATATGAATGAATAATACAATATGATGTCGTTTCTTATAAATGTAGTTTAATTTATTATATTTTAAAATACTAAAATATTAAAGTTTTACAAATATATTTCTAAAATATAGGTATCCTATGCTATTGGTATCGCAGAGCCCCTATCGATATCAGTGTTTGATTTTGGGACATCCAGTAAAACCCAACAGGAATTGGTTGAAATCGTTAAGAAAAATTTCGACCTCAGACCCGGATTTATTATTAGGTAAATAAAGCTTTTAAATTGTATAAGCAAATTAATTTATTAAATATTTCATTGATATTTTTCAGGGACCTGGAGCTAACTAAGCCTATATATCAAAGTACCAGTTATTACGGTCATTTCGGTCGTAAAGGTTTCACTTGGGAAGTACCCAAAAAACTAGTTTATTGATAAATTGCTTTTAAACACATACATATTTGAATGGAAATAATGTTCCGAATATGATGTGCAAATGTTTTGAAAACTTATGTTAACGAGCAAGTTCTTATTATTGAAATTATTGAATATTTTATAATAAGATGAAGGATGCTGTTTTGAAAACATATACACATCAATTGTATAATTATAATAAATTGCATTTATTGTTGTATTCATTTTAACTTTACTATAGTTAATATGAAAATTCTTATTATTATGACAATCAATCAAATTGTTGTAATCTATTGTCGTGGCCTGAAGGGGCCCGCTTGCTGTTGGGCACAGGTGTGCCACTATGTGGGACAGAAATAGGATATCTGCCCTGTTTAGCAAGTGTATCAAAGGATCACTGGTCTATAAATCAAATAGGTTTACCCGGTGTCAGATATCCCGATTAAGGCGGTGTCCGGTGCGATTACCTTGAGGTGATATCTTGATTCCGGTGCTTTATCTGTGATATGTCTGTCTACTTGTAACCATGCGGTCAGTAACAGTCAAATCCCGGTGTATATACAGTAATTGTATATAAGTAAAAATGTATAGTCGGAGCTGACAACACTAAACACTATTTATTTAATTTTAATTAAATAATTTTAATTATAATTATTATATTTTTCTAATCATCTCTTTTGTGTCGCAATTACTACTACTGTTACAGTCATAAGATTTTTGTAAGATTATATGTAAGTAAGTGTATATAATTAGTCTAAATATTTTGTAGAAAGTTTATTCTTAATTTGTGTTATAAATTGTATTATATTTTTATATATAAGTGTAATTATGTAAATAGATATTTCTAATATAGTTGTAATTTAAATGCAAATTAATAAGTTTTAATTAGAAGATCATATATCATGAATGTAATGTCATACACAAATCACTATTATTATAAAATAAGCCAATAAATTCATTATGTTTTTGTACAGTTACTAAACCATTTAAATCAAAATTCCAATAATCATTATGTAAAGTATTTTTGTTTAATCTCATTATCAAAATACATACAAAATTTATTTCCTTTATATAGAAGTAAATATCCATCGATATTATAGATTAAATCGAAATGATTATTTTGTTTACATTAATCAATATACCCACTAGTAGCATGCGCATTTAGGTTGAATCAATATATTATTTGAAATATTACAATTGAACAAGCATAATTATTTATTTTGGCATATATAAATACAGTATTTTGGAAACAATTCATGTATATGAAACAGGTAGGTAGCGATGACCAACTAGTACCATGCTCATTTAGTTTAAATCAATTTATTATTTGATATTTCACGAATGATCTAGCATAATTATTTATTTTAGAGTATATATACAGTATTATGGATACAATTCATGTATACGGGACAGGTAGGTAGCGATGACCCACTATTACAATGGTAAATACTATAATTACCACAACATAGGTATTACTATTTGTAATAATTTGTAATATGTGGAACTCAATGGTCATCAGTGTCATTAATGATGAGGTGGGGGAGGGGGATGGACAGAGTGATTCTAGTATACACTTTTTCCCCTTACCTATAAACGTATAAAAATGAATTGTAATAGGCTATCTAGACAAATTGTTTTGAAATTAATAAAAATGAATTTATATAGGAATTAGGGATTGTATTCAAAAACGCTGAAATTTTCTTAACAACCCATTAATCATAATGTGTTCATTAGTTTAAGATTTTGTCAAAATTTTTTATTTAAAACTTTAGCCAATTGGTCATTAGGCCAAATGGTCGTTACTTTTTCATTATCATAGATATAAACAATGACCACATATTGGTCAATCATAAGTATAAAATACACCATGGATAGTTTTGTACGAATTTAGCCGTACAAATCACTGGCGCTTTATCACCGACAGTACCATACGTTGTGGTGAATGTATTTCAATCATATCCCTCAACAGCGGCGGTACGTCTGTGTTAGGACTTCGGACAAACTCGTACCGACTGACCAGTGTGGCCAGGGTCAACTTCACCTCCAACGTCGCAAAATTCATAGCCACGCAATACCGGGGACCGACACCAAACGGCACGTACGTATACGGGGCTATATTCGTACGGTTCGCGGGCAAAAATCGATCCGGATTAAATTCGTCGGGATTTTCAAAATGCTCCTCCATGTGGTGTATGGCATAGGCCGGTACCTCCACTTTCTGACCCGATTTGACGACAATACCGGTGCCGTCGTCGCCGAGCGCGTAGTCCCGGTTGGCGTAGCGCGCGATCCGGTGTAGCGGCGCGTGAAGTCTCAACGTCTCGGCGAACACGGCCTCCAAATACGGCAGTCGCGCGACTGAGTCGTAATCGACGCGACCGTCGGTGTCGAGTGCGGCGGCGATTTCGGCGTACAGTTTCCGCTGAGCGTCCGGATTGAGGGCCAACTCGTAGACGGCGAACGACAGGGCGATCGTAATGGTCTCCGTGCCCGACGCGAACCACAGCCACCCATTGGCTACGAGTTCGTCATCCGTTATATGTTTGCTAAATGTTTGGACACTTGGCCCTGGTGAAGTGAGTTTTAAATTTTAAATTTTTAAATTAGACATTGCGTGATCATGTTAAAGTGGATTAATATTATTTATGTGATTAATATTAACAAGGAGCGTTTAGTACTTGAAAATTTTGCATGGGTTGTCAAACTGATTAATGATAAATAAATATATTGATCCTGCTTTTTCTGATAATTTTTGACCACATCGGTACCCAAACTGTTTCAGGTAGCATGTACAGTTTTCTAAAAATTCATTAATTCAATCAATTGACAAAATATTAATTGATAGCTATTGAAATAAATAAATAACAAACTAGATTAGGGTGTTATATTAATTCTTTGAATTAATGAATTTTTAAAATTGTACATGCTACCTTGATCAAAATATTCATTATTAATCAGTCCCACAACCCCATATAAAATACTCAATTATGAAACGCCTTCTGAACTACAATTTGAGGGGGCTCCTTGTAAGCAAGCTCAGTTAGGCTTACTTTTAAAATAAATGTAGTTTAATAATATACTAAATATGAACATGGACCATTTAAATCTCCATAAGCATTACACTAAAAAATTATACCTCCAGATCCCAAATACGATTCATTGGGATCCATGTCCTCATCCGTGTCGTGGACGGCGTCCATCAATATCTGCAGGAAGTCGTTGTACTTACGGCTGGTATTCCGCCTCCGATCGGCGATCAGACCTCTGATGAGACCGAAGAAGAACTCGTGGGCCGATGCGTCCAAACGGCGCCCAACGCCCACCCAATTCAGCGCCGTCTGGAGGACCGACTCGCGCATGACGTCCGGATTGAACGCCCTTTTAGCCATCGCCACGAACTCGCTGTCGACATCCCTGGCCGCCTGAGCACCGCATTTAATACTGAACGCACAGGTGGCCAACACGTCCATCGCCAGGTTGCCAAACACCGGGCGTAAATCGACATCGGCCGACATACCGGTGCCGGTGCCCAATGTGACCATAAGCTCATCGACGCACTGATAGATTAGTGGATACATGCGTCGCATTTTGGCCGATGTAAAGGTGGTCGACACGACCGCCCGGAGCCGTTTCCAGTCGCGTTGGTTCGCTTCGCCTAAATTGTGGCGCAGTATCGGGTGTTTCATTGGGGGCCGGAAGCGGTCGGTGAACGCGTCGAAGTCCTTCACGAGAATGCGTTTCATAAGCTCCGGTGCGGCCACCGTCAGCACCGGGAGGTTGCCGTAGAAAACACTGGTTTTATGGTACATAAGTAACACATTTATTGAGTTGTTTTATATGTTTGTCGTAAATACAAATATTTATGTCCCAGTTAAGCTTTCAAGTGACTGTAATATTATTAACCCTAAATAACTAACTAATTGAAAATATGCACCAGCACCTTTAAACACTTGTATACCCGGAATATAATCATATGCATGGCCATAATAATTTTATTCATATTCGCTGATGAACATTTACATGAGCACCTACATAGGCTAACATAAATAATTTGTAATTTTATTATGTAATCACTTAAAGCCTAGGTTACTTTGAATATAAAGCACATCAATCCTACTAAAAATAAGTAATTAAGCAAAGTTTTCCTGTAATAAGCGAATGATTACCCAATATGGGAAAGTCAGTATAATCTATATATAATTTATTATATAACCTAATTATCCAGCTACATTTTGGTGAAAACTATTTTAAAAATTTGATTATCCATTAAAAAGTGATTACCTTTTGCCTACCGTAGATCGATTTGGCCAAAGTAGTATATATAATTTATTATATAATGTAATACGTATTTACCCGTATACATTGCCATATTTGCGTAGCCACTCGATCTCGACATAAGATTTCAATTTACCAAATGTTTGCATAAAACTGTTGATAGGTGTCGGACCCGGAACTCCCCGTTCGCTCCAATAATTGTATTTTTGTCGCAAAAATCTTATACATATAAGTGATATTAAATTTACAGTGATATTCAACTATATCTGGTCTCGGAAAGCAAATTCAAGATTATACCAGTATATAGGATATGAATTTAAATATTTTTGCATTGTTTAAAGTTTAATATAAGTAGCCTGCATTGTACATAACTAAGTCTGTGACTATTTTTATATTTGAATAAATACTTATTTAATATACAATGTATGCCACTTATATTAAACTTTATTAAGTTTTATACTTTACTCGAAAGCAATGAAAGATATTAAAATTCATATCCTATATATCAATGGTTTCCAGAAACCAACTAGTGATGTATGCATTTACTATTTATTACTATTTAAGCAAAGTCCATACAACACTAGTATTTTAAAGTTTATAGAATACATTAAGGATTAAAGTAGCATTTATTCAAAAACTCATGAATA